TTATAAATATTTTTATTATCAATAAAAAAAATAAAAAAAATAAAAACAAAAAAAAATTTTCTAAGAACGATTTCATTTTAAAATTTATAAATAAGACGATATTTTACTTGGTAATAGTTGTCATTGATTCAACTTGTATATAAGAAATGATTATAGATCGCTATTATCAACTATCAAAACGTTTGATAAGTATTGTAAGGAACGATGAATCTTCGTAAAGATAAAAATACAACTACACATAAACGCACGCATACACGTACTTACATACGCATCCACGAATACACAGACGCATGAATATTTTCATTATGCATCTGTCATTCCAGTTGCATTGTTTTATCCTAAAACGATGCTCCATCGACTAACTCCCACGGTCCACGTACTCCGACAACATTGATTTTCTAAAAGCAGGACGACAGAGTCTAGTTCCTCGATCTCGCATTTTATTCTAAAGAAAGCAATGGAAAAATGGAAAAAAAAGAGAAGGACAAAAAGAGAAAGAAGAAAAGACGGAAAATAAAGAAAAATACTACATCTTCTTCGTTGAATATCAATCCGAATAAAATAGAATTTACAAAATGCTGAGTTGTACTGAAAAAAAAAAAGAGGGAAGAAAAAAAAAAAGAAGAAAAAGAAAAAAAAATTAAATAAATAAACAAAAGCAAAAGCAAACTGAGGAAAAAGAAAGAAAAAAGAAAAAGGAAAAGAAAAGAAAAACAAAAAAGAATAAGAATAAAAACGAATTATTAATCGTCATAAGTATGATTTTTAAAGTAAACGAAAGAAGGAATGATTTTTAAAGAAGACAAAATAAGGACTATTTAGAAAAGCAAGGTGAAAAAAAAAAAAAAGAAAAGAAAAAATCATCATCCTGAATATCGAGGAAAAACTCTTGATAGCAAAGAGATAAACTAACCGCATTATTTTCCTTCTTTTTCTTCTTCTTTTTTTCCTTTCTTTTTTTTTTATCCTCTCTCTCTCTCTCTCTCTCTCTCTCTCTTTCTCTTTCACATCATAGAAGTTCACTGAAGAGAAAAGATACAGTTTGGCCAGACACAGTTTATGTCTTGTGTTTAACGATCCTTCCGCGCATCTTCGATCAAGAAAATCTGTCGAACATGACCTTTTGATATACATACACACATACATATATATATATATATATATATAAAACACATTGTATGGAGGTCGTAGGAAAAAAGTTCATACTCATCCTCTATCCTTGAAGACTTCACACAATATTCTCTTTTTTCGCACTTTTCTCATAACCCAATCGCTATTTTTTTTACTATCACGGAAAATCGTTGTCCTTTATATTCAACCTGTTCCTTTTTTCTGATATAAAAAATAACACACACACACACACACACATGTATATATAGATAACATGACTTTCAACGAATACCAACGACACATTCTTTTTTCCTTCTCTTTTTTTTTTTTACGATTATCGTGTAATCGAAGAGCTGCCATATCATCGATATAGCTTTAAAAAATAAGAAAAGAGGAAGAAAGCTACTAGCTCCTTGGAATTTTTATTAGGGCATTTGTATATTTCTCTACTAAAGCTCTCCCTAAGGAAAAAGAAAAGGAACAAAAAAGAAAAAAAAAAAAAGAAAGAAAAAAGGAAAAAGAAAAAAAAAGTTGGAACGTCGCTCTCTTTCTATTTCTCTATCTTTTCTCTCTCTCTCTCTCTCTCTCTCTCTCTCTCTCTCTCTCTCTCTCTCTCTCTCTTTTTCTTACGCAAACACCCATATCCAAAAAGCTAGCACAGCCTTCCTTTTATCCCCCCATTATCGTTCAGAGATTCTTCTCCTCTATTTGAAGGGTGTACATTGGGAAAGAATGTCGAACGGGAAAATCGGCTCGTCATCTTCGCAAATTTCTGCCGTCGCGTCCGCGTCGCTCGCCGCGATTGAATTCTGCTCCTGACATTCTCCTCGTTCCATACCGAAGAATCGTTTTTTTAAAGTGCGAGAAAGAGCAACCCATCCCCTATATATATATATATATATTTCTCTCTCTTTCTCTCTCTCTCTCTTTCTCTCTTTTTCTTTCTACTTCTCTTTTTCTTTCACTTTTTCTTTCCTTCCTTTTCTTCACTCTCTTCGAAGTTCTTAGACGACGAAAAACCTTCGGGTAATATTCGTGGAAAACCGAACGACCACAAACGCATAGAAATTGCAAGCATACTTGAAAATGCGATCGAACATAGTCTGTAAAAGGAAATAAAATACGAGAAACCTTCTATCTTTCTTTCTTTTTATCTCTCTTTTTCTCTTTTTCACTATGTATTTGTAGATACTAGTCGAGGATAACTGATTCTCCCTTTACAAAATCCTTTTATTATTTAACTGTATAAACGTAACTTGAGAAAACGTGTTATAGTCGGGATTAACTTTTCTCTTTTCTCTTTTTTTTGTTACTCGTTACCGTAGTAATTGGTTTTTATTGTAAAAAAAAAAAAAGTTTCTCTTCCTCTCTTTCTCTCTCTTTCTCTCTCTTTCCCCTTTTCTTTTTTTTCTATCGGCAAATTTCCATTTATTATTATTATTATTATTATTTTTAACGAACTTGCTCGTTTTTTTTTCTTTTCTTTTTCTTCTTCTTCTTCAAGTTGACTGCTTTTCCTCAATTTTAAATTCTTTCGATTTTATCCTTTTATTTGCTTGCACGTACTTACATGTATATATATGTTGTTGTATATATATATATATATATATATATATATATATATGTATATATATACAACCATCAAATAATTTAATTAAATCTCGTACTTTAGCAAATTAATAAATAGCGTTTATGAATAAGAGAAATTACATTATGGATAAGAGAAAATCGATCTGATACGAGAAGAGAGAGAGAGAGAGAGAGAGAGAGAGAGAGAGAGAGAGAGAGAGAGAGAGAGAGAGAGAGAGAGAGAGAGAGAGAGAGAGAGAGAGAGAGAGAGAGAGAGAGAGAGAGAGAAAGAGTATCATTTCGACGAAGCTCTTATTTTTCGTTAATTTTATTATTATATAATATCGCAGTGAGGAAAGCATAAAAAATCGTTCTCAATCGTGCAATATAAACTAAATGCTCATGCGTGTGTCTATAAAATATTTTTAACGTTGTAAATGAGAAATGTCAAAATCAAAAGTATTTTTAACATTTATGAAAGAACGTCAAAAGTATTTTAACGTCTAAAAGTTTGTTGGCGTTTAATACGTCAAAAGCACCAAAAGTTTTATAATACTGGTTAGGGCTCAGAAGTCCCTAGTTGATTTTTAAAAATCAATTGCTCTTTATCGAGACTCTTCGGGCTAATTTATTTTTCTTTTTTTTTCCCCCCTTTTTTTTCCTTTTTTTTTTTCAGAATATAAAACTACGAGCCTAGAAACTTTTTTACAGCTTAACGAAAAAAAAAAAAAAAAAAAACGACGAAGTGAGTAATTACTTATTAATATCACATAAATACTTTTGAGCGAGTATTAAAAATTTTCTTATTAATTATTTGACCGATCAAAAATTATTTTCTAAAGATATTACGATTATACGTATATGTCATTTATAAAATTTACTCTTCGAGTAATACAATTTTTTTTTCTCTGCTCAATGTTAAAACGATTCATTCCCGTAAAACGTGAATAACGTTTAAAAAGCTTCCTATTGTTTCAACTACTTGATTGCGATCAAAATTGAAACCTTACGAGTTAAACGGGTCATTTTGATCTATATAACGTTTACCTATATATTAATATGCATTTGAAATGATCGAAAATATATCGAGGAAAAAATATTTTATAATTTCGTATATCCAAATTTGTATATACGTACGTTTTATATATTATTGTATGTATAATATATTAAAAAACATTCGAACATATATACACATATATATATATAAAATAAATATGAATTAAATATATATAAAAAAATATATATATATCAAAAATAAAATGGATTATATATTTCTTAAATACTCACGATCGATAATAGCAACACGTATTAAGTTCGTTCCCACGATGTTGTCCCCGGAAGATCCTTTAAGATCGACAAATGTTTTTTCTTTTAGATCGACGATCGTAACTGCCGTTCTTCGAGTCGACAATCCAACGTAGTATCTTCATCTTAAACTTCGGCATGACAAAGGAATACTTCGGACTCGTATCGGGATCCAGAAGTACCCCGATTCATCTCCTTTATCTCGATCCTATCGAGACGCACCATCTCCGAACGATTTAAGATACATGCCGCCGGCTTTCTTAGTCTCTATCTTCCTTTCCCCGCCCCCTCCCCGTTCCTCGGCACAACCACCAACAAAATGAAAGAAAAGAAAAACAAAAGTAGAAAAACTATTCCCGCAACTTCCCTCGATCTCTTATCAAAGACAATTCAGGCGATTGACCGGATCGAATTATCTTATTTTTCTTTCGTTAAATCACCAAATTCCCGACATTAATGATAAATATTTACAATTAAAATAAATATCCAAGATTCTAATACATCTCCAATAAATCTATATCTTTTTAATATCAATGGAATAAATCTAATCCAATTGATTGATTCTAAATACATTTAATCAAACTAATCGAATCTATTATTATAAATTTGATCGATCTTTCTTATTCAATTGTTAATCTTACTTTGATTTTTCTATTAAAATTAAAACTTTCTATTGTTTCTTCTTCGTAGACGGATTTTTCTCAAACTGGTTGCCCGTTCTCTCTCTCTCTCTCTCTCTCTCTCTCTCTCTCTCTCTCTGTGATCTTTCTCTCTTTCTCTTTTCCTTTCTTTCTTTCTCTTTCTCTTTGTCTCTCTTTCACGTGTCCTTGACACTGTCGAGAATACACAATGTCAACGGATCGACAACACGTCGATACACCTATGACTATGATCTTTCGATGGAAGAGAAACACGTGGAACGAACTACGTGCGTACTACGTGCGTGGGTGGTAGCGTACTACTGAGTTTCACGTTCCTGAAAAGCCAATCCTGACGATCTCCCCACCCCACCGTACCTCTGCCTGCCCTTCCAGCCGGCTCTGCTTCTTCCTCCCTCCCAACACAACTCCGCCGCCCTCTGCGAGTCCTCTCCTCAAAACGAGTTTGCGCTCCTGCCAAAGTTCGTACTTCGTCCTCAAACGTCGTTCCGTTTCTTTCTTTTCTCCTTGATAGCCGAACGACAAGCTTATTCGATATTTCATTCTTTTCGTTTATTCGTCTATTCATTTTCTGAAAGAAAATATTATTTCTATTACATCGAAAAGACACGTTCATATTTTATTATTATATTACAATAAATCTATATAAAGTAATATATATATATATATATATATATATATATATATATATTACTGATATAATATACTTTTTTTCTTACCAGTATAATTAAATATTAATATAATAATTATTAATATAAGAGAAATCGATGAGAGATAATATAATATCGTTTATATAAATATATGACAATATTAATTTTCTATATAATTTTCAAGTCGAATACATATAGATTTAGTTAAATAATACTTAAATAGTTTGTAACAATTAAATACGTATATAATGTGAATAAATAAAATTGATCTAATATAAAATTACATATATATAAAGTTAAGCAATTATTTTTCGTAAACGATATAAATAAGTAATTGACCAGATAAATTTTTTCACGAAAGCAATTTATCTCTCGTTTCTTAAGAAATCCGATCCGATTGTCGAACGATCGATAATATCATCTCGTAGAATAACGTGTCTAGGAGTTGTGCGTTACTTTTCTCGGTAGCCTCAGAAAGAAAAATCGCTACGAATCTTTCATCGAGATATATCCTGACGTACTTGATAGACGGGCCACTTACGGACTCTCGACGACAAGAAGCAATAATCCTCCAGGGATTGAAGGGACACCTACTCTCTACTTTACTCTAAGAACTTCCAAACGACTCCTTCCCTCTTTCGTTTTCTACTACTCATTTAAACTGATAAAATAAAGCTCTGTATTTACAAAAAGAGGAGAGAGAGAGAAAAAAGAATCAAAAAAAGAAAAGAAAACATCGATTATTACAACTTATTATTAAAAATATTTTTGATAAGTCAATTGTGAGAAGTAAGATTTTTGAAAAATATATAACCCATAGGGAGTTTAATATCCAAGCTTGCGCTTAATACGCTTTATGATAAATGCGACTTCGAATATTTTCATTATTCAATATTGAATTATAAACGTAATCGATTTATGAAAAGCATTACTTTTTATATCTATATCTATACTCGTAATAATCGGTCAACGATCCGTTAAAAATACTCATGACGATTATTTTTATTTGACAATGAACTTTTTTATTATTTATGAAAATATCATTCGTTCTTTCTAAACTCAGTATAATAGAATTATAATATGGTTAAGCGGAAAGATGGGTTCGTTTTCTAATATTACTATAGATACTTACTACGGAGTAGTAAGGTCGTAACAAATGTCTAGGATTATAAGAGAATTTTCACACACATATACACGCATGCATACACACATAGAGAGATCACAAACACGTTTGTAAAGTCCAAGCTGCGGTAAAATTTACACAAACACAAATGTAACAAAAGGGATTTGTAGCAAACTGATAGATAGATCTATTAAATCATTGTATTTATACTCTAGTTCTCTCTCTCTCTCTCTCTATCTATCTATCCATCTTTTTCTCTCTCTCTCTCTCTCTCTCTCTCTCTCTCTCTCTCTCTATCTATCTAATCTATCTCTCTATCCTTCTCTCTCTATCTCTCTCTCTGATATTTTCTATTATTATAAAAAAACATTTCTCTCTCTCCTAATCTTATAAACGATATACCAAATTGATCGTTATAACGTTAGAAAAAGATTCCACTTACATTTTTCCATAGTCTCATAAAAGAAATAAATTGTTTTTTTCTATATAATAGTAAGACGAGAAAGTAAAGAATATGTATCAGTATGTTTAGTCGGATATCGTTGTAACCATTAAACGTAATAAGTATAAATAAAACATGTTGTATCTCTCTCTCTCTCTCTCTCACTCTCTCTCTCTCTCTCTCTCTCTCTCACTCTCTCTCTCTCTCTCTCTCTCTCTCTCTCTTTGTCTCTCTTTCTTTCTCCTGTATCAGTAGTAATAAATCGTTGTAATTGAACTGAAGCTCTTTTAGGTTCTCTCAAGGACCGATAAAAGCAAATTGCATATGCGAATAACTCGCTCGTAATTGAATCTATAAGATGATGGAGGGAGGGAGAGAGGGAGGGAGAGAGAAAAGAGAGGGAGTTAGAAAAAGAGTATACTATCTCATTGCACATAACTTATTACGAGTAATAAATCCCGTTGAGTGCGTATATCTAGTAGTAGTAAGTAGTAGTAGTAGTAGTAGTAGTAGTAGTAGTAGTATGGGGAAAGTTGAGAAAAAATTGTCAAGATAAATGGTTAAGAAAAGGATAGAAGGAAGGAAGGGAGGAAGGAAGAAGGGGAGGAGAGAGAGAGAGAGAGAAAAAAAAAAGATAATACTAAAAAGAGACCGTCTACTTTACTCAAGTGAGATTTACAAAGCCGAAAAAGAAAATAAACGTTTTGCACGACACTTCGTGCCGTTCTCGTTCGCGATCTTCTTGCTCGTGCGAATTCGTTGACGAAATTTACGATTCGCACGCGTCGCGACGGGCAAAAGCTAGTCGTAGTACGTGGTTTAGCAAGAGATATATATCTTTCTCGTCGTCACCTTACATCTTTTTAAGGAAAGAGAGAGAAAGAGAGATAGAGAGAGATAGAGAGAAAGAGTAAACAGAGGTGGAATGGGAGAATTGGAAGAAGTAGAGAGAAAGAGAGAGAGAGAGAGAGAGAAAAAGAGAGTAAACAGAGCTCGTTAATAAAAGGTCGTTTATTCAAAAGTAGCGTAATTATCAACGGATAATTAAATCTTCTTACTAAATTTTCTTTATCGTTGATCTATTCATCTTCCTCTACAGTTTATCTACTAAATAAACATTACTTCTAGCAAACTACGGGTAAGAAGGTATAAGCGTTTTAACCCTCTATAAATTTAAAGACATACATTCATATTATTTTATTAATCGGTAGATTGTAATTGTGCATTTAATATTTAAATTTTGTCACGTTATTTAAATAATATTTATAAATTATATTTACAATTAGTACGATATAATTTTATCATTATTTAATATATCATAATATAAAAATTATTGACTAAGTACAACTATATCTATTATTTTTATTATAATTTATTATAACAATCGTTTTAACGGATATAATTATACCATACTAAGTAATATTAACAATAATAAAAATATATTAGAACTTTTTGTTTCGATTGAGCACGAAAGAAAAATTCGTTTTTATAGAGGTTTCGAACGAAGGACGTAAAAAACGAAAAAAAAAAGGCAGAAAAAAAAAAGAAATAAAAGAAAAGGAAAAAAGAAAAAAGAAAAGAAAACTAAGAAAGTAAGCTCATCATTTAAGGGACTTACAGAAGAACAGTATCTTCTTATCGTCGTTTTTCGAATCCCTTAGCTTTCTCCTCCACGATTTAACATTAATGATACTCCAGCGTTAGATGTCCCGTAAGGAGTCGTAAAGTTTGGAAAGGAAAATGCCTCAATTGTGAACGTCCAAGTTTCATGTCATAGACCTTCAGGGAGAGTAACAAAGAAAGAGAATGATCTCATTGTCAGCCGTTTTCAACATTCTCTCTCTCTCTCTCTCTCTCTCTCTCTCTCGCTCTCTCTCGCTCTTCGTCCTATCCTCTTCTCCCCTAAAGGAGAAACGCGGAGGGCCACGTAATTCATGTCGACGAGACGACTACCAACTTTTATTTGGCTAGACTGGATGGCGCCTCGGCTCCGATAATCTGGCCATTACTGTGAAAGGGAGATACACTGAGAAGAGAGGAGGAGGACGAATCGCTCTTGTGTGTTAGGGCAAAACGAAAATGAAAGAGAGAGAGAGGGAGAGGAAAGAGAGAGAGAGAGAGAGAGAGAGAGAGAAAGAGAGGGAGGAAGAGAGAATGATAGAGACAGAGAAAGTGCAAAAGAGAAGCAAAATGTGTGTACATATGAGAGAGAGAGAGAGAGAGAGAGAGAGAGAGAGAGAGAGGGAGAGGCGAAGGAGATATCGATCCATTCAAATCCTTGCTACCGTCGCAAATAGATACATAGACCCATTTCATATCCATATCTATCGATTGTATCTCGTTACGTTGCATAACAGGAATGAGCCATCGTGAATTGCATCCTAGGTAGATAGAATTATTCACTCTTGATGAATATGAAGTTTCCGTTTAGCAAAATGTATCTTTCAAGCTAAATGATCATCGTCTATAGAAATTCTCTTACGAACACAATTCTAATTTATCTGAAATATGTTTAGTAGGAAAGATTTAATCGAAATTATTAATTTATGTGTAAATAGTATACGTATTCATTTTACGTATGTATATACGTAACATGTATGTGTTTATGTACGTATATGTTATGTATATACGTACGTATATATTATGTATCTATTCGTACTCGATGAAATACCTAGAAAGTAATAAAGTACCTTGACAGATCTGACGTGTCTGAAACTCGACGGGTAACAGCAATGTGCACGCACATCGTCTTGCAGAAATTGTATGCTTAGTGAGAGACATCAGAGACATCACGTGCGATTTCCATGGTAAAGCCCTTCAAACGTTTGCGAGAACTTATTTAGGTATTGCAGGAATAAACGTCTATATAAGAGGGAGTTAGATAGATAGATAGATAGATAGATAGATAGATAGATAGATAGATAGATAGATAGATAGATAGATAGATAGATAAATAGATAGATATAGATAGATATAGAGATAGAGAGAGAGAGAGAGATGATTATAAAGAAATTAATCACGTCAAAGTAATAAAACAATTTTCATACATAATATCCATTCTCACAAATCTCTATGTATAATATCAATGATCTAAAGAAAATATCAACGAATGGAATAGATATATATTGATAAAACGGATTCCATGGCAGGTTTAAGAAGAATTCTGATAAAGGAGATAATTCGAATAGGATGCTTTTGTCCTCGCGGAATAGCTATAAATTGAGATATCCTATCGGAAAACGCGTCCACCTCATTCCGCTAGACTGAACTCTGGAAATTCGTTTTGGTGAAATGACAAAAGAGAAAAGAAAGAGAAAAGAAAGACACAGAGAGAGAGAGAGAGAGAGAGAGAGAGAGAGAGAGAGAGAGAAAAGATACGTTCAAAACTCTCCTTTTTCTTCTAATTTCCTATTGTCCTACTCGTTCTATGTATGTCCGTCATTGTTTGTTATCTATATGTCTCTAGGATCCCCAAATTCTCTAGGATAGAATTCTATTAATATTGAACTATGACAATCGATATCGATAACGCGCTATTCTTTCTCCTTTTTTTGTAAATCCACCAGGCGAAACTTTTAATTGATCTCGATCCCTTCTCTCGTTTTTATTTTAAATGAAAAAAAAAAAGAAAAAAAAAAGAAAAAGAAAGAAATAAAAAAAAAATAAAAAAAAGAAAGAAAAATAAAGAAAAAAAAAAAGGTAAACACGTCTTGAGAGAGAGAGAAAATGACCTTCACCTCGGCAAATAGCTTTTGTCGTTACTCTCTACGTTATATTTAAATGTAATTTTATCAGTTTAGATTTATTCACGTTTTTATTTGCATAGCGAAAGCTGATAACATTTACATTTTTCTCTAATGACTATCGTTTGTATCGATCTAAAAAGAACGTTCCTGCATTTTTGCAAAGTTCTATAAGAAAAGTAATCCCTCAACTATTTTCCCCTTTTATATCGTTGATACGATTAAAATAAAATAAAATAAAATAAAATAAAATAAAATAAAATAAAATAAAATAAAATAAAATAAATTGAAAACGAAACAAAAGAAAGAAAGAAATTCCATATTTCTGTGAGTGCGTGAAAAAAAAAAAAAAAAGAAACATGATATGTAACATTTCATATAAAATAACGTTTTATTTTTAATTCTATTACTTTTATCATGTTATCTATTTTTTAGCTATTATTTATCATGTAAGCTATTTTGAAATACATTTTTATACATCCTTCCTAATATGTTCATATTATAATTTAATTTCCATAAAACAGAACTAAAACAAGCAAAAAAAGATAAGCCTGGTCCCTAATAAAGTTTCTCAAGTCAATATATCAGAAAGTTTAATTTTTTTTTATCTCACGCATCCACAGATTTTTTCGAATATTTTCCACGAAAAAAGAAAAAAAAAGACAAAAAACAAAACAAAAAGAAAAAAGAAATTTAATTATATAAACAATAAAAATTCTCTTAACGATCCACGAAAGATTAATATCGTTCTAATAAATTCGAAAGATCTCTTCAAAGTTGTCCTATCATATTGCTTGAAATATATCTAGTAATATATTATAAGCGAACTGTCACGTATTATAGTTGAATAACTGTAATTTCAATATCGTCCATCCTTCATATCGTAATTCGCATACCTTCATGAACACGTGGCAATATCATGTTAAACGCATACATACAGACTGAATTCAGAAGTACGAAGGTGTTATGTATAGTGTTACAACAGTAGCTTTGGAACAGCCAGCTAGCCATTCATTTCATCAAGTTGGAGCCTGGTACTTGGGATAAGGAGTCTCCCGACTTGAGATGTAAATTTAAGTGGATAGCATGCTCGATGGGATCAACACAGACTGCGTGGACGACTTCGAGCGAGTCTGGTTGCTTGCTTGCTTGCTTGTTTCCAACTCTGCAATATATAACAAGCTCAGAGTAATATAGGCAAACATTTTACGACTACAATGAACGTTTCTACCTGGTCTCTTTCGTCGATCGAAATGAAGTAAATACGTTTGCATATAATTTGAAAAGAGAATTAAACGGATTAATCAATCTAATAATTATCACGTTCTTACATATCATCTAATCTAATACGATCGGACAAGTATTTATTCAAAATAAACATAACGATTCAGACACTATACGATAATATCTAACTTTATTTTTCTCGCCTTTTTTTTCTCTTTTTTATACCCCTCTTAGTTCTGATTGTTTTTTCTCTTTTTTTGATTGTTATTATTGTTGTTGTTGTTGTTATTATTGTTGTTGTTGTTGTTGTTGTTCTAAATTCTCCAATAATTTCAGAACACTTTGTTCGTTGTAATAAAAACTTATTCAATTTGAAAGAGCGTAACGAATACTTTTTATACGAACTGGCATATACGAGAAAAACGTTAATTGGCTACTCGTTATTTTTCGCTTTGTACGATCAAGGGGAGAGGGAAAGAGGATGAGTTTGAGGTCGGTTAGCGACGATATCGGAAAACAATCGAAAGCTTTATCCACACAACCACGTTTATATTACATACATACATACACATATATATATACACATTTGTGTATGTGTATATGTTGGGGGTGTGTAAGTATATATACATTAGAAGATGTAACAAAGCTAAAAAGCCAGAGAATACATAGCGTGTA